CAGAAAGCAACTCTCCAATGTTTCTCTGTCTACATATTCCAATCCTATAATGGGAAAGAGCTTTATGTACTGGTACATTTGCTCTGCACTGTTGGTGAAAAGCTGTTAAAGTCATGCAATATTACCAGTCATAAATGTTTCATAAAGGGTTTGTAAAGCCTCGACTTGGATGAACACCAGGCGAGAGGGAGAGTTATGAACAGATCAGAGGACGGGCGATGCTGCATTAGTTTATGATGAAAGACAAGCTGTCTCGCTCTCTCCTCATTTCTCAGGTCTGTAATTATGAGGTTTGTGTGTTTTCTTCGTTCCACTGGGCATGCCAAGCGAACATCACAGAGCGGGGCCGATTGCTATCGAACAGTACAGGTGGTTTACTGTACGAGCAGATGTTTCCCAGACCACAAACACACATCTGCAAAGCCCTGATCTGAAGAAACGGGGAGAGAAGAAAGGGTTAGAGATGGACGGATAGGACAGTGCTGACGGAGGTTTACAGATGATATGAGAGGAGGAAAGAGGGCTTGTCTAACAGCAAGTTAAAGACAGATAGTGTTTGGGAAGAGCGATGATGCTCCCTTTGGTATCTCTTTTAAAAAGATAATTAGAGGGTGCTCAGCTAAAAACCACAGGCTAAGGAAATGAAGATGGGGTGCACGAATGGCGGAGAAGTGTAGAGAAACTCCAGCATTGGGTTTCTATCTTACGGTGGGAATGAGGACATGCGGTTTCCTTGATTAGACTGGGAATGGTAGCTGCTCGGGTGTGAGAAACGAGTGTCACATTGCACAGAACTTTTGGATTAGTGAGGTTATGTGGGCTGCAAGCCTACTAAGTCATCCTTGTCCCATTCATTTATCGACAGACGACACAATGACCCAATTCAGAGTTGAGCAGAGTACTGGAATCACTGGAAACTTGAGAAGCGCAGATATGATTTACTGAATAGCTCAATACAGTAAACTTAGTTAATGTCACTATAAAAGTTTGTTTTTACTGACAGTGTTTTAGTAGCACCACAAAGCTTAGTTGCTTCAGGTTACACAATAATGACCCCATAGAGTTCAACTCAGTGTGGTACACAGATTCTAAATCTGAAGAAAAAGATCTGGTACTGGACTGGATCAGGGATGGGTTTCTGCAGGTACTGGTATTTGAGCTACTGGGGTATAGAGTCTAACATTGGATTGGTGCATGAATCTGCTCAACCAAACTAAGACTGCACTTAAAGTAGACAGAGACAAACATGTATTTATGGTGCATGATTACTACAATGTCCTGTCAGTGACAGACAGATTTCTGCCTTTTCATCCATCAACATTCATTTTGTCCCAACAACAGAACTAGATTGCTAACACACCCATAGGGACATCTATGTGTGAGTGTAAACATGCGTGGCAAAATGACAGCGATAAGACAGGCACATCCAAACAAAACACTGGACAGCGCATCAACTCGAGTAAACATGCAAACTGCACAAGCAAACATGCTGTCCAGGTAGAAGCGTATTAATTCATCAAGACTAATTACTCAGTCTTGTTGTTGTCGTCTCTAAATCATTTAATCTGCCAGATTTCTTGCTGTGTAAACTCGCTACACACTCTACATTACCCCAACTACATTCGTTACACCTCCCCTCACCCTTCACCCCATCACAGCACCCCACCAATGTAGTTTTGGTCTTGTAATCCTAAAAGCTTTGTCCAAGACAGACAGCTTAACAAGCTAACAGGCTCATCCTACTGCAACAATAAGCCTATTAAAGATGCCTGGTCGGGCTCATTAGAAATGATCCCCTCTTAATAGACCCAAATTACCAAGGTAACCATTAATGCCAAGACTAAATAGGACTTCTTACTTGTTAGTTTTACATTTTGAGGCAGGAGTCTGAACCTAAATGCTTGGTTGATGATGTTAAATCAGTAGGCCAGTTGCCAGCTGCGTTTAAGCCATATGAAACTGTGCTATTTGGTGTGCGTCAGGGTCTTCTGAATTGTGCTTGAGCTTGGCGCGGGATCCCCATCCTCCTCCCTATGTTTTTCCAGATGGATATTGACACAGGGGGAAGGCCAGGAGGGCTATGATTAGTCGGCCCAAAATTAAAGTCTCTCTTCCCGCATGCCAGCTTACTGACAGGCCGGCTTTAGAGGGAAGGAGGGAGAGATTACAAACTCATTTCTCCTCATCTCTCCTCTCCACTCCTGGGATCTGTCTTCCCCCTACCACCACAAAGGAGGGGGCTCACGCGCCTGACAGATGAAAGCTCTTAAACTTCAATCATCATTGGGGCGAATGAGCCGGAGAAGGAAAGCGACCCCTGCTTCTAAAGCAAAACCAAATGGGCCAAGTGGGCCAGAACAGTGACACCATGTACCCATTCTGCCCACATCACACACACTCCAATTAATTGCTTGTAGACTCAGGGTTTCTATGAGGAAAGCTGCAATAATAAGTGGCAATAAACACTTTAACACTTGTGCATTTTTGCCCCAAAACATGGCACTCCACAAGTGGAAGAGCTCTTGTGCAAGGACTTGCTGAAAGGGACCATTCACTCTGCCAACATAGCTTGTTGTGTTTCACCCAAATCCACCAGCAGTTTAAGTCAACAGGGACCAAGAGCAAAAGACAGGTCATTGAAGAGAATAGCAGGAGAGTGATTTTGAGTGGACCTTCTATCAGAGTTAATGTTTGGTGACGTTTGGTTGCACACAAACTGGCACTGTTAACCCAACTGCAAACCATCTTGCTGGGAGGAGATACATGAGTGGCCACAGCATCACTAAACCTCCTGCATGATAACTTTAAAAGGGATGCCGAATGAATTTTGCTGTGCCACCTTCTGGGAAGACTCTTCTGCTCACTCTGTTTGATTATGCCCTGGCACCTACAATTTACCATGATCATAACATACTACAGTTATCATTATATTGTCCTGCACCCCATAAATGCTTCTGTTACAGCTTTTCCAGCCTGTAAAGTTCTAATTCACGGGCACACAGGGACCATTTTTAAGCATGGAAATGGTTAAAGGTAAAACTATGCTGGCCTCTGCAGTAATATGCAGTGACTCCATGGCTGCCTAAAGCTATAACTTCAAGGCCTCAATGATTACAATGCAAACTACCACCAATATAAACCGTAAAAGTAGCACAGAGTAATGGCTTTAGTCCTGAGAAACATTCTCTAGATTCCTATAAAAGCATCTACGAAAAAAATACTGAGTTGGAAAATTAGGCTTCTACATTAATTACATACCTCCACATTAGTTTTCTTAAAGCCATACTGGTTGAACCAATTCCCAAATCAAAACATTATTTACTACATGCTTATGTGCGACTGAGATGTGATTACAAGCCCGTTACACAATGGATGTCTGTAAGAACCTCGCCAAATGCCAGGCAGAGAAGTGCCGCCGAGCTACCCGATACCCTGCAGCTGCTAGCAATGGTCCTGTTATTGCACGACTCCATTCACGGCCATAGGCAGGAGAAATTAGAGATATGGAGCATTCACGTTGTCATTCCAGGATCATGTTAGGAAAACTCTGGCTGCAGTGTAGAATTACTCCAACACTGACCTGAACTGCATAATAACTGACTGGGCAGTTGCAGCTGCACCAAGTTATGCGGATGAGAAGCAATGCAATTAACAATGCTAATTAACAGAGCTGTTGAAGCTGAAGGACTATAGCTGGACTGTGAAAGACTGTGCTTGATTGGGTTGAACAATTTACCAAAAAGGCAGTCTGACTGAGTTTTGAAATGTGGTGCAAATGAGGACAAGAACAGAAACCCCATGTTTATACCCTACAGGTCAACTACAACTGCACAGTGAAGAGCAAAGTTCCAGCTCAGAAGCTAGCAGCATTTTCTCTCAGTGTTACTGACAGTAAAATTAAGAGCCCATATATTATATTTCAGTGAAGCATGGAGCATGTGTTGTTAATGCATCTGGATCTGTTGTCTAGCAACAATGAGGTAATGAGAAACAGACTTGTTTTTAAGGTCATAACGCTAGAAAAGAAGGAATTAAGTTACACAACAGAGGGTGAAGTCAAAAAATGTCATTATTAAATATTATCAAAAAAGCTCACGTTAATAATCCACTGCACTGTAAATCGTGGAGAGTAAACTTGAACCGAAGAAAGAGAGCTTTTCACATCGAGGTCAGTGAAGGTAAAAGGGGAACCTCGTCCTCTTTAGGTTCTATACATTCTGTCAAAAGTGCAGGGAAAGTTTATATAACTCTCCTGTTAATTCTTTAACCATACCAGAAAATTTCACAGAAACAGACCAAGCTCTAAAGGTTACAGCTTTATCAAGTTAACTGCTATATACTGGTGCACAGATCATGAAGAGGTCAAGCTGTTGGAGACAAAAGTCCCCAAAGGTTTGGCTTCTCCTTCAGAAGGACTGCATGCTTTTTTCTTCTTCTTCTTTTTTTTTTTTCTGCAGCCACATTAAATTGCCAGATGATTGAATGGAGTTTGGCGTGAGGTTCATACTACATAGACACTTGACAACCGACCACAACCCTAATGACACTGTCAGGAGCCAACTGTCTGTCCGCAGTCTCTCCCCCTTTGACTCTCTCTCAGTCTGTCGGGAGACGCTAGCATACCTTTTCAGCGCGTGCGTGACGGGAGCGCGTGCTTTACGTGCAATATTGCTAATCCGCTAAACACTAATAAATAACTAATAAACTGCAGGGGGGAAAAAAGTGTAGAAAACGCGACATAAAAGACACTAAAAGCATTAGAAAATACCAAAAGAATGCCTAACCAAAACCGTTATGTCGTCTAATAACCAAATGACATGTATTAGGTAAAGCAAACATTTTATGCTAGCAGGGGAAAAAGTCGTTCGTAGGTTCACGGTGGATGTTACGGAGATGCTGCGTGAGATAAAGAAAGTCCCTCTAAACTCTCGTACGAGTTTGTTACTGTGAATGAAACACGGTACAGTGATTTTTTTTCCCCTTTCCATAAAGCCACTCACCCCTGCTGGAAGCGAACAGAACAGGGTCGCTCCTCATCGTGAAGTCAAACTCATCTAATCCGACCGACGACGCACACAGGAGCAAGGCGCGTGCCCAGCGGCTCCCCGACAGCGGGTTTTTAAAAAAAATCCAAAAGCTCGCAGTCGCGCACACACACGGTCTTCTCCTTCTTCCTCCTGCTTTCTACCTCCGCTCTTTTCTTTTCTGCCGAGCCGGTCACTCAAACGTCTCTCTATTCCTTTCAAACTTCTTTCTTTGGGTCCTCCTTCTCTCCTCCCCTCTGCTTCTCCAAATGTCTCTCTCTGCCGCAAACTTGCCTGCATGGATCGTTTCTGCTGCGTTTACAGACCGTTGGAAATAAGGCGATTCCCTGCCATCACCTTGTGCCGGACAAAGAGTTGCAATTTGGTGGGTGAACATTGAATAAAAGGTATTCGTTTCTACTCAGTGTTGAGTTTTGATGTTTTAGTAACACAAAGAAGGCCACTTGTAAGCTAAGCAGAACGATTAAACATCATCAATCAACTTTATTGAAGTCTTAATATGAGACTTTCCGAAAGTCCATAAAAGCAGCGTTTTCCTGCTCTTCTCTGCACCCCCTTTCTTTCATCAACACTTTATATGTAAATTACTGTCCAGTAAGGCAAATTGGCTTAGAATAAAGTAATAAATACAATATTTTTTATATCTTGTAAATAATAATCTAATAAATGATATGATTATGCAGCAGTGTATCACACCAGTGGCAACATCTGCTGACTCTTAGGGCCCTACAAGTGGCACAGGATGAGCTACATTTAAAATTTAGCTTATTGGTGGGTGAGTGCAACTTTTAATGATGCTTTTTGCCACCAGCGGTGTTGGTTACAGTGACTTTTATTCCACAGTCCAGTCACACCGCGACACAAATTCAGGGTCAAGTGTGAAAAGGGGCAACATTTGTAAGTATACTGACACCCCCAGAACACCCTCAGATCAGTACTATATATCACAAACACTTGCACCCTCTCTCATCTGACCTTCCTTAATTGATATTCACGGGGATATTGTAACTGCACCAAGGCCCCTGACATGTGACCTCCTCACCATTTGTTGCCTGCAGCTTCCAAAGCATAGTAATGCAAATGATTCTGCTTTTATACAGCAAGACAAGTCATGGCCGGCTTTTTGTCACACTTCGTGGAGTTTAAGCAACTTACAGTGCAGAAGGAAAGAAACATTTAAAGCGAGAGAGAGGCTGCCTTCCCTAATTACACTCAATTACCATAAGCTGCTGATCCGTGCACCCCTCCATCCCCATCCCCAGGGGCAAGCAAGAGCCAGTCTGAGTTCAATATCCCATCTGCCACCAGGGGAGGAGGAAGGGCAGCAGACTGAGGCTACCCAACGCTGTTGTTTTTCTTTCTTTTTCTTCAGGACTGCACTTTTTCAGTGTGGAACATGAGACTGAGGGAGGGAACAGTGTGGAGAGAAAGAATAATGTCCCGGCTCACCTTTCAGTTCCACCAGTTCAAGGAGAAACCACAGAATGGCAGAGGCTGTTAAAGTGTATTTCCCTGAAGGATAATCACCATAATGTGCCTGTAACTGACCTTGTCCTACAGGGAGCATGTGGGTGGTGCTCTGTACGGAGTATATATACATCAGTTTGTGGCATTTTGTTTGTAATTTATCAATCATGGATTTTCTGTGGTGTGTTGCTGAGTAGTGAGACAGAATAAGGTGTTGAAAATACAGTGAGGAGGCAGAAAATGCATGGAAATGATTCACAGGATTGCTACTTTTAAACTGTGTTACTGTTAAAAGAAAAACGAGAGGCTATGAAAGATCACAGCTGAACTGTGAGGCTGGTTAACATCACACTTTCTCGTAAGTTTACATTTGTCATTCCCTGGGTGGCCAAAGTTTCCCAACACTGTCCATTTCAAGTGAGCAAATTTCCCAATTAGCGTGCAACACAGTGGCTAACACGTTAAAGGTGCACAGTTATAGCCAAAATGATCATTACATTTTTTGATCAATACTAAAATTATGGTCATTTATCACAATTATTTATTGATTTTAGGGAGAAAATACTGTTGTTGCACTTTCACCTTTAAACAGAGCTCAGATTTCACATCAGTGTTGTGCTACATTCCTGCTGAAGTACAAGTCTTTGCATCTAAATGAGCCTGAATATACATCGCATCTACAAGAGTGCAACTAAATTATACCTAAAAAAGCTTCACTTACTGGACATCTGCTTCACCGATGTTCCTAAATGCCTCACATTCAGGGAATTCTAGAAATCAGCCAGGCAGCTGTGCACAGAGAAGCCTCTAGTCTCCACTCAATTACTGCAGCTTGTGCAACTCAGACAGATGCGTCACCAAATATGAAAAGAGTGAAATAATTGTGATTGTAATGTTAGCTTTACCCAAGTTCAAGCCCAGTGATTGTATGTACATGGGTTGTTTTTTATGGTTTCTATGCACAGAGAATTTTAAGCATCAGTAGTTATCAAAAATTGTGATAATATTCAATCAATTATGCAGACCTTCTTCACACGTAAGATTAAAATTTTGCTCTGGAGAAAATCACGCTTTAATGTGAGTGTTCATCAAGACTCCTGTACTGTCGTAAATGGGTAATACAGCTATCTAATAACTAATATGAGCCGAATTTTCAGCCTTCTTTTATCTCTGTTTTGGTCTCCTCCAGCTTCTGAGAAAAATGATTTGGCTTTTTAGCTGCAAAGGTTTCAATATGTCCATCGGTTAACCAGCAAACTAATTTTGTCTGTCATGTGGTGCAGAGTCGTTTGGAAACGAGGTTGATAGGAGCAAAGATTGCAAAATTAAAACAGTGAGCTATGAAAGGCTTTACAGCTCTGTACAGTTGAAAGGAACTGCAGAGTTTGGTCCTTTCACATTCCACACGGATATTATTGTTGTCACTGCTAATTTTATAATTAAAAGAGGATAGTGCAACAGTCATTTCTAAATTTGTCTGAGATCTAACTTTTTAGTTTGTTTGTTTGTTTTCTTGACACGGTTGCATACTTTTTAAACTCATTTTCACTTAGCCTCACAGTTTGGCCGCCAATTTTCCTAAGAAAACAAAGAATGATGAGATGAACAAAACAGACAGCAAAGGGCCACACACACACAGAAACTGTGGTCCAAGACAATTGCTTTGGACATGCCTGTCAAAACAAACAAAGTGAACCCAAAACTCTCTCAGTTTTATCTCCTCTAAAACTCACTTTTCCAGTATGAAGGTAGCAAGGCCAGACAAACAGTGCAGAGCTGAAAACACAAGAGGCAGGTTGGGTTTTGGGGTGTTTTTATGGGCAGAAGGTGGCATTCTTCACAGCCCCGTTCGCTGTAAGACGGTGTGCAGGCCAGATGACCCTGAAGTCAGTTAATTGCGGTGAAGAAATCCAGTGGGAGGATTTCTGCTTGAGCTATGAGAGTCTTATCAGGGCGAGATATGATGATGGAGAGGGAGCGTGTGGTGAGCATGTGTGTGTTGAAACGATGAGCGATGAAAGGATGGATGGGTTACAGTGAAAAAGCACATCCCTACGTATTGTTCACTCAAGTCCCACACACTTTTTGGGTCAGTAATGCGTGTATGTGTGTGCGATCCCGGTGAAATCTCGGACTGGATGGATGTTAACTTGGCTCTGTTGTTAAAAAGTCAACAGTGACATCAGCGTTTGGCCCCCTGACTGCGATTAAATCCAATAGAGATTGAGATACTGTAATAACTTGGACACGTCCCTGCCCCTGTCAGCCATCAACCTGTCATGTTATTCAGACACCCCAGTAAGAAAACACACACACACACACACACTCAGACAGACGAAAAGATACACACTTAAACTGTCCATGAAACATCCATGGTTTTAATTTGAATTCATACCACCCCTCCCTTGTGAAGTATTTTCACTTTTTTATGTACTCTCAAAGATATCCATGTTGACACATTAGGCCGTACTACATTTTACGGTATATCCTGTGCATGACAACCTCTACACAGGGGCATTTACATCAGGGCAGTAGCTTACATTAAGGACACACTGGTCAAATTTTGAGGGCTTGTTATGACAGGAGAAGCCCAACGTGAACTATAACGACGATTTAGCGATAGACTATAACAACGGGAGATAATATTTATGTAAAATATAGTATAACTCAAATGAATAAGTAAATAAATGAAACACCAGGAAGTGGGGGAAAGATCCAGGCCTTGGATGAGGCAATCCACCCGGTCCATGGTTCAGAGCCAGCAAGAAGGCGAGGCAGGTCATGTCAGAAATAACCAGGATGGAGCAGTCAGTCGGCCGTCACATGAGGACATCAGGGGCGCTGGACAACTTGGTACGCTGCTGCAAGCTGGGCAATCGACTGGGCAGATATCTGGAAAATGAGACATGGGCGCGGCTGTCTCATCAGGGTACGATGCCCTGCCCAGTACTTAAAATCTTCATTACTGGTTTGGCACTGAGCGTGGCTGCAACCTCTGCCTCTCTCCAGTACATAGTTGGTTAGAGGGTGAAGTGTTTGGGATGCTTGCAGAGGCAGCGAAGAGAAAGCCAAAAGGGTAATTATGAGACTACAGTAAGGAGCCATCCTCCTTCAGCCTTGATTATACTCTGGTGTGGCCTGCAATCGTGGACAAAAAGTTGTTGGTACTATACTTTGCAGACATGACACCGGCCAAAGGCAGGCGGTGCATGCAAATACCAACAACATGAGGCCAACACCAGTTCCTGACATCAGGATAGGGGTGACAAATGAAGGGGGACCTGGACTGGCAGCTCCACTTTCCAATGGAAATCTGCAGCACCAGTCACGGTGCTGAGGCTGCAGCCGTAAAATCAGTGCTGCCGGTCAATGTGCCACGGGAGCAGGGGCAGCAGCCCAAACCATGAAAAACAACACCCTACCAAAAGTGCTGTTGGCCGCAACGTGTTCGCGGATGATGTAGCTTGTGCTTGACTTTGTCTACATAGTCTGATTTGAATGGAAATTTCTGTTTATCCATGCAAAAGCAGATGTAATTATTATGTTTTAATACATTAGTGTCAGCCATATCATACCATGACTGTGATGGGTTTCATGTTTAAGCCCTTTTACTACAAATCATTTACAATTTACATCACTGCTAAACACTTCAAAAACCACCAATGTATAAAAATATACGAAGGTTTGAAAAGCTGTCAACTTGAAAAGTGCTACGAAAGTTACGAGATCCAATCCAATTAACACAACTATACAAAGATTGTTGTGAAAAT